TCGCTGCAAACGTAGGGCTTCTCCCCTGTGTGTGTCCTCTGGTGTGTAATAAGGACTGACTTATGACTGAACTCTCTCCTCAAGTCCTTGCAAACAGAGGGCTTCTCCTCTTTGTGTGTTCTCTGGTGTCTGCTGAGATGTGACCTATCACTGAAGCCTCGCCCACAGCCTCTGTATTTGACTTTTACAATTCTTGACATTCCTACCCCCATGAATAATTTTCCTGTCTCCTCTGGATTCAATTTCTGGCCTGTGCTGGGCTCTTCGTCCACCATTCCCTCACACACTGCAGAACTCCCCGTTTGTCCTTTGGATGGGGTGGAAAAGGCCCTTGAAATTCTTCTCTGCCTTACACTTTTAAGCAAAGGTTTGAAACTTTCTTTGACCTCTTGACCTTTAGCTTTGTCACTCCAGCTCTGCGGATCAGAATGTTGCTGCCGCTGCTGATTCTGATCGCCTGGGCAGGGATCCTCTGGTTGGAAATATTCTCTTGCAGATATTTGTGGGAAGATCTGAGAAGGGTGATTGCGTTCCAAATGTTGGCTGAGGAATTTCTGACTGGAGAAGGCCAGAGAGCAGGAAGGACATGGATGTACCTCTGGCTTTGGTTCTGCTGAAAGAGGAAATTTTTGGTCAGGTAGATGTTGACACAACTGCCTGTGTTGCATGCATTGTCTCCTGGTAAGGCCGCCCCAGGACTCATTTTTATTGTGTTGACAGTGCAAACTCTGTCTCCTGCCAAGTGTTCCTTCACTTTTCTATTCCATTTTTACTCACTACATCTCCCTCATAAATCCAGAAAGCCCATATCAAGGGACTTTTCTATATATCGCTCAGACTGGGTAACTTCAAGTGGCATCCAAGGCAGCTTCCTTCCTTATACAGATGGAAGGACAGTGACCTTTCCCCACATATAAGTACCTTCTAAGTCGTATGACTCTGTGACAGTGTCTGTAGTGATTTCCTTCCTTTGAGAGGCCACAACTATCTTGATGACTTAGATGGAATGTGTGAGGAAACATGAACCTGAGTCTCTCCATTTAAAAAGACGTATTTAACTGAGGACCAATATGTGTCTGGATCTCTATTAGAAAGTGGGACTTAGATTGGACGACACAGGGGCGCAGGTCTCCTGAACTAAAGAGCTCTGGTTCCTGCTGCCCCAACTAGGTTATAAATTGCTTCTCTTTTAGTTTTCCACAAATCATAACATAAACATATGCCCTTCATACTGTATTTATATCATTCAGTCTCAGCCCATTTCAAATACAATAGGAAGTCCTGTTGCAAAATATTTTCCCAACCAATTATGGGGATACATATCACACCCCCAGTTGCCATCTATCTTCTGCCAATCCACCGTCTTCTTTCACTTAGAGATGACGTAATCTTGGAGGGGATTCCCCACTGTAGTCTTTCTCCAAAATTAGCCAAAGAATCATCTTAAAACAGAGAACATGCCACTCTCCAGTTGAAAACTGCCCAGTTGTTCCATCTCAGTCAGGAAAATCCCCAGGGTGTAAGCGTGGACCACAGGCTCTAGGGCGTCTACGTATCTCTCTTCCATTCTTACACTCTATGCTTCCTCCATCCGAGTGGGTTCTCAGCCACACATCACTCACACCTCACCTCTCTTGTGCCTCGGGGCAACTGTCCTCACGGGCCCCCTCTGCCTGGAATCCTTTGCTCACAGGTGTTTGCACATCTCAAATGTTATCTCCTGAGAGAGCTCTTCCTTGTCCAAGCTCTGTTGCACCCCACCCTTCCCTCATACTGGTCCCCAGACACTTTCTGAGGACTCGTTTTACTTTCAAAGCACTAATTGCTGTGTGATGTTATGCACATGCATTCATATATATGTGTGTGTTTCCCTCGTTCATTCAGTCATCAGCTGCTGAAGAGTAGTGCTTCTGAAAATCTTGTTCAGTCTGTACCTCTAGTTCCTGGAAGCCTGTCTGGCACAGAGTAGGAACTCACATGACAGCTAACTGAATTATGAGTGAATACACACCAACATACACATAGCACTTAGAAATACTGAGCAAATTAAGAAGAAAGAGCTAAAAGGGCAGAAGAAACTGCTTTGGTGAGAGGGCTGGTAGGTGATTGAAAACTTGTTTTTTGCCTCTAATTTTTTTAATCAGTATATTCTATTAATATTTTGAGCATGAAGTATTTAAGAAATCAGAACAAAAATTAAAAATTAAAAAATTGTTCCCAAGAGTCCAATGCATTTGAAATGAATCCTTATTTCTGAAACTTCTGAATTGCAATTGTACTGACTTTAGACAGGATTTTTCTCTACTTAAGAGCTGGACTGTGGAAATTGCCAAGGAGAATTCTTCCTTTTCTTTCTGTTTTGAAAAGCAGTGGTGCCCACCTTTCCCTGCTGTGAGCTCGCTCTTCCACTTGCTTCCCCACTTGATGCCCAGCTCCTGGCCATACTCGTCCCCATACCAGACCAGCAATTCGCAGCCTGGCCTGATGACCCGGCAGGTTCGGTAGAAGATCTGCCTGTGATATTGAAAGGCCACCAGGTTCTGCTCCTCATCATCCCTGGCACAGTTCACGTACCTGGGAAAGAGAACCACAGGAGATAAGTTCCCACTACCTGTCAGATCCACCCCTGATGCTGAAGGCCTCCATGCTGTGATGCTGCCCACTCACCCACTGCTCCTCAGGAAGGCTCGGTTCATACTCAAGCCTCCGTCACGATATCATATGAATTCCCATCTCTAAGTTCTGCTTACTGCCCTCAGCCTGCCTAGAAGGCTTTCCCCCTTGTCTGCTTAACCATTTTCCAAATCCCAATTCCAGACTCACAGCCACCTTGATTGGTCACAAAACCCAGTGACATCTAGTTTCTCTAAACTTTAAATTAGGTTTATACCATAGAACTTGGTGCTTGATACCATAGAACTTGGTGTTTGATCATGGACTCTGCTTCTAGATCACTACATGTCATTCCATACTCAGCCCAACTCTGTCTTCCTTTGAGAGGCCTTTCTCCAGTCTCCCCACACTGTATCTGAAGGTTGCTTCCCCCAAGTTCCCACAGAACCTCGGAGCTCTGTCTTTGCACAAGAACACAGAAAAACAATATTTTATTCACATAATTCATCCCCTGGTAACATGTGAGCCCCTCAAGGAAAGGGGCTGGATCATGAAACACAGAGGCCTGTGGCCATATTGCAGCCCATTTCTACACAGGCTTCCGAACCAGTTTTACTAGAACTGAGGCTAGGAAGAGCTGCTGCCCTCACGGATTAAAGGTCCCTTGTTTTAGGTTACTCCTACACTTTATACCTCTTGAAAAATAGGGAAATTATAGTTAAATATTCCTAAAATCAATTGTCTACTGTCTACCTGCAATATGTCTTCCATAGGACATGGGTTGCATAATATGTTTAAGTAATGAACTCCACTATGGAACACAGTAAGTGCTTATGAATATTGATTAGATAAATTAAAGTGTGAATCCAGTGTTCCTCATGAGTCTAGGCTCCTCCGGGTTTTTTTTTTTTCAGTGTCCAAATTTTATCGAGCATATTTTGAGGACATATACTATGTTCTTAGCTCCTTTTTTCCAAAACCATCTCTTGAAATGAAAGAGCATTATAAGGAGAAAAAAGAGGAACAGAGGATTGAGGGAGACCATTGAGGGAGGCATGACAAGAAGGAAAGGAACATGGGTTTGTGAGAGATGAATGTCCTCTTTGGAACCCAGAACCCTATCGGCCTTACCTCATCCAGTTGGCCCAAGAGTTATCCTTTCCATCCACATACTCATAGCAGTTTCTCCCTTTGGTGATCTGAGTTTGAGAAAGAGAAGTTAAAGACTTTTTGTTTTGTTTTGTTTTGTTTTGGTGGGGAGGTAATAGAGGGATTATTTTACTCTCTTGCGGTCAATGCTCTTTCAGCCTGCATGGAATCAATCCCCAGTGTGACCACATGATGTGCTCCTTAGTCATCATCTGTACATCTGGGTCACTTTGTCAACGCAGAGCAGGGGTCCCGCAAGGGAGGAGCCTCCTGTTTGTTTCTGTATCACTGTGCTCCCTCTTACCCTCTGATCTTTAAGTAGGAGCTGCAGGTTCATGCAAAGTCCACTCAGTACTCACAGCTAACCATGTTATCCCCATCCATGTAGAAGGTGATGTCTTACCAATCCACAGGAGGGATGTGGGAAGCCAGAAGATGGGGGAAGAAGTAGATGATTCTCACCAACCAGGAGTATCCGCTGTTGGCTGCCTCTTCATCTTCTGTGATTTGGCCCTCATAGGGGCCAAAGTGTAGACCCAGTGGCAGATCAGATGCTTCATTCCATACTCCAAGCCCAGCCTGAGGGATGCTTGATGGTCTGATTCTCAGACCAGGGGGCAGAGTGAGGGCTGAGCGGTTGGGTTGCCCCTTGTCCACTGCACTGTCCTTTACAAATGTAGGGGGCCCATGAACAGCACAGCTGTCAATGAAGAAGTTCTGACACTTCTCACAATCTGGAGGTGAGAGCAACAGGGATTAGGAAAGGGTTAGTACGTGTTCCTGGACTTAAGTAGTTTCAGAAAGAGCCCAGCACTCACATCATGTAGCCTCTACCCTGTACTCCCAGTCACTAGAGGGAGGGGATGATTTGGGGACCCAAAGACAAGACGAAGTTACGGTACCAGGAGAGAACAACTTCCTTTGAGAGTGGGCCAAGATGGTCACTTACAGAGGTAGTCATCATCCTGGGGCTCGTTGACCTCTTGGTATGCAAGGCTCTTTCTTTCTCGTAGACTATACATCTTTACTTCAATGTCCTTTCTCCTGAGTTCTGAGTTGGAAAAGAGTATGTGAGTGAGGTTGGTGGGGTCTGGAGTGTTAGTCCCTGTTTTGTCAGAAAATGTGAAATCTCCTCTGATAAATTATTACCTGTCCTTCTATATACTCTGTTCTCTGCCGTCCCCAAACTATCCAGAGAGTAAGACTCCATATTGACTATAGATGGCTAATTCAATTTTAGTTTCTTCCCATTATCAGGTTAATCTTTGCAATCTTTCCTCTTAGAAAATGGTTCATTCATATATTTCTTCATTCAGAAAATATTTGTTGAAGGCACATGATATGTCAGGCATTGAACAAGGGCCTGGGCATTCAACACCAAGAAAGTATGGTCTTTATTATCACCGAGGGATTTATTGGACAACTTGCATGGGTCAATTATTTTATGTTTAATTTAATGCTTTCAAACAATATATGACCCATGCGTCCTTATCTTCATTTTTCAGATTAGCATTCAGGAGCTCAGAGAATTTCTAAGATTTGTCCAAGGCCTCAATGCTAACTACAGGTCTCAGGTTAGTCTAGCTTAAACCCAGCCTAGCCAAAGTCCATCCCACATACCTACATTGTATTCATCAACCTTTCTGGAGGAATTAGAGGGACTAAAAGTCCCCATATTATTTTTTCTTACCCAATTTTTGTAGGGAGTGATGTCCAGAGGTACTTGCTTCTCCAGGAGGGGACACTGGTTTCTGGCCCTGCTCTGAGCCACTTGTGTTCAGCAACTTTGCTGTTTCTGATAATTCCTTCAAACTAGATTCATTACTTAATGGCGCCCTGGGTATTCCCTTCAATGTGAGAGTCATATATTAAAAGACAACATGTATTTCTTTAGTCCTTTAAGGCTTATGATGTGTTTTCACATGCATTACTTTAGTTAATACTTCAACAACCCTTGGGAATACCTGGGGAGTCTGAATACTAGAGGGAAAAGAAAGGGCATATGTGGGTATTGAATTCAAGACTAGAACCCATGGCTTAAGGCTCTTTTCCCTTTAAATTTCTCAAATTTCTCCATAAAAGTGAGGTTGAGGGAGGGAGATTATTTGGGAATCAGTAAGGTCTGTGAAAGAAGGTGATGAGGGCTCGTAGAGGAAAAGAGGGGATCTTCTATCAACTAGTGGACATTTGATAGAGGAGGAAATGTAGGCAAATGGAGGGGACAGCACACATCTGGAAAATGAGGTGACAGAGTGGAGAGAGGGGGAAGAAAGCAAAGAAAGGGTTGGCAGAAATATATCTAAACACTAAAAAAAAAAAAAAAAAAGGATGCTAAATTTGCCATTTCCATATCCAAGAAAGAATATTTGGAATTAGATTAGCTAGTTCCTGTCAATTTTGTTTGAATTAGGTTGTACCCCAACTAGCTCTCTTCAGTTTCCTGATCCATAAATTGGTCTATGTACTAATTCTTAATGTTATAGAGAACAGAAAATATCATAATGATTATCAGATTGTTTGGTGGGCTATTTGATATAGTATGAATATGAGATTACAGTCCTGTTATCAACTTACCCCCTCAATTGTCCCCATGTTCAAAATCTAAATCACAGATATTATTTTTAGCATTCTTTGACCTTCTTACTTCTAATTTAATCTGTAAATGTGGAATTACTCATGCAGAAAACACTGAGGGGCCCTCTGGTGCCTTAAGCTGGGCCTGGGACTTCTGAGAAGAAAGAGCCTGCAGTGCAGAGAGAGTCTACACAAATGATTCTGAACAAAATGAGAGTTGCCTAATGAGAGCCCAGAGGAAGGAGTTGTCGCTTCCTCCTACAAGTATGAACATTTTAAATCAGTTCCAGATACCTATCTGGAGTTTCTAATGAATATTATGTGACCTATATGAAATCTTTAAGTCATTTTATTAGTTGTTTCTCAATCATCAAACCTGAAACTACTTGGGGCTGGGAGATGCTTCCTCTTATTAGAATGGGAGACTCTCAGGGTAGGGAACCTATCTCCTTCATCTGGGATCATCCAGTGTATAAATTGCTAGTATATTTGTAAGCTTCTCTTATTTAGATGGTCTTAGCTCATCTCTCACTTGAGCATAATAGAAAAGAACCGAGGTTGGAATCATCAAATGAATGATGTAAATTTTATAAAACTCTGAAAGTTTTAATGAGCTTGTAAGTGGTTTGGAGAAGGAGCCTGGGATTAGATTGCACTACCAATGGTACTGTGATCTCAGGTATATAATCAAACATGTCTTTGTCTCAATTTCCTCAGCTGTAACTGGTGATATTTATAGTACCCACCTCATAGGGTTGTTGTAAGGTTTAAGTAAGTTTATTCATGTAAATGCTTAAAATAAAGTCTGAAGTACAGTGAAAATAAAACAAGTGGTAGCTAATATTGTTGCTGTTCTTAACAGCTATTAAAGTGATGATGATATTGGATATTGTGCTAAAGAGATCAGGAAAGGAAGGCCTCAACTCCTACTCTTGCCTGTGTTTAAATCCATGAGAAAGATTTTCTTGTCAACAGGTTCTGGGAAATACTCACCTTCTGGTGTTTATTCTGCTCCATTCTGAATGCCACCCAAGAAGGTCTGACTATAAAGTGATAAGAAATCAGTGTTTTGGTTGGTAAATATTTCCAAACTCCAGAGGCTCTCACTGGAGACACAGAGTTCTTAACCAGGGAGTGTCAAGTACATGGATAATCAAAGGGTGATTGGAAAATGGTTTCTGAAGTTATCATCAAAGCCTATGCTGCTAATGGTGGCATGAACTAATTGACCTAAAATGTTAAAAAAAATAGACAAAACCTCATTTATGCTTCATCCTATGTTCATAAGTTATCTATTACACATATTAAAACATATGCCATGAACTTCTATGGCAAAAACACTCAACAAACTGAGAATAGAAAGAAATTACCTCACCATAATAAAAAAGTCTATCTCCCACATCACACTCTGCAGTTAAAAACTGAAAGCTTTTCCTCTAAGATCAAGAACAAGGCAAGGATGCTCATTCTCACTACTTCTATTCAACATAGTACTGGAAGTCCTAGCTAGGGCATTAAAAAAAATGGGTATCTAATTTGGAAAGAAAGAAGTAAAATTATGTTTGTTCACAGATGACATGATCTTGTATGTGGAAAATCCTAAAGATTCCACAAAAAAGCCTGTGAGAACTAACAAATGAATTCAGCAAAGTTGCATGGTACAAAATTAACACTAAAAAATTAGTTGCATTTAGGGTGCCTGGGTGGCTCAGTCAGTTGAGTGTCTGGCTCTTGGTTTCGGCTCCTGTCGTGATCTTGGAGTTATGAGATCAAGCCCTGCGTTGAGCTCTGTGCTCAGCATGGAGTCTGCTTAAGATTCTCTGCCTTTCTATCGCCATCTGCCACTCCCCCCCAACTTGTGCATGTGTGCGCTCTCTCAAATAAATAAATAAATAAAATCCTTAAAAAAATTAGTAAGGGGTGGGGGGATGGGGTAACCATGTGATGGGTATTAAGGAGGGCATGTATTGCATGGAGCACTGGGTGTTATACACAACTAATGAATCATTGAACACTACATCAAAAACTAATGATGTCGGCTAATTGAACTTAATAAAAAAGTTAGCTGCATTTGTATTGTACTAACAATAATCCAAATTGGAAATTAAGAAATTATTTTGGAATATCCAAAAAGGAAATTAAGAAAACAGTCCTATTTATAATAGCACCAAAAGGAATGAAATAATTAGGAGCAAACTTTACCAAGGAGGTGTAACATTCATACACTGAAAACTACAAAACATTGCTGAAAGAATTTAAAGAAGACACAAGTAGGGGCGCCTGGGTGGCTCAGTCAGTTAAGTGTCTGCCTTTGGCTCGGGTCATGGTCCCAGGGTCCTGGGATTGAGCCCCGCGTTGGACTCTCTGCTCAGCGGGGAGCCTGCGTCTCCCTCTCTGCCTGCCACTCTGCCTACTTGTGTTCTCTCTCTCTGTAAAATAAATAAATAAAATCTTTAAAAAAAAAAGACACAAGTAAATGGAAACACACCCCATGTTCATGGATTAGGAGTCTTAATATGGTTAAAATGTCTACACTACAAAGCAATATATAGATTCAATGCAATTCCTATCAAAACCCCAATGGTATTTTTTTTTTGCAAAAATAGAAAAAGTCATCCTAAAGTTAATATGAAATTTCAGAGGACCCCAAAGAGCCAAAACAATCTTGAGAAAGAAGAACAAAGCTGGAGGCCTCACACTTTCTGATTTCAAAATACATTACAAGGCTACAGTAATCAAAACAACATATCATTGGCGTAAAGACAGACATATAATCTGTGGAACAGACTAGAAAGCCCATATGGTTTAATAATCTTCATAAAAGATGCCAAGACTACAGAATGGGGAAAGAACAATACTTTCAACAAATGGTGCTGGGAAAATAGAATAGCCACATGCAAAAGAAGGAAGATGCCTTGAAAAAGCAAAGCAAAGCTGGAGGCATCACAATTCTGGACTTTAAGGTCTATTACAAAGCTCTAGTGATTAAAACAGTATGGTACTGGCATAAACATAGACACATAGATCAATGGAACAGAACAGAAAACCCAGAAATGAATCCACAACTATATGATCAATTAATCTTCAACAAAGCCAGAAAGAACATCCAATGGGAAAATGACAATCTCTTCAACAAATGGTGTTGGGAAAACTGGACAGCAACATGCAAAAGAATGAAATTGGACCACTTCCTTACACCAAACAAAAAAATAAATTCAAAATGGATTAAAGACCTAAATGTGAGACCTAACACCATAAAAATCCTGGAGGAGAGCACAGGCAGTAACCTCTTTGACACTGGCCACAGCAACTTCTTTCTAGATATGTCTCCTGAGGCAAGGGAAACAAAAGCAAAAATAAACTGTTTGGCACTTCATTGAAATGAAAACCTTCTGCACAGTGAAGGAAGCAATCAACAAAATTAAAAGGCAGCCTACAGAAAAGATATTTGCAAATGACATATCTGAGAAAGGGCTAGTATCCAAAATATATGAAGAATTCATAAAACTCAACACCTCCAAAATGAATAATCCAATTAAAAAATGGGCAGAAGACATGAATAGACATTTTTCCAGAAAAGACATACAGATGGCCAACAGACACATGAAAAGATGCTGAACATCACTGATCATCAGGGAAATACAAATAAAAACTACAATGAGATATCTCCTCACACCTGTTACAGTGACTAAAATCAACAACACAAGGTGAGAAAGTGGAGAAAGGGGAACCCTCTTGCACCGTTGGTGGAAATGCAAACTGGTGCAGCCACTCCATAAAACAGTATGGAGTTTCCTCGAAAAGTTAAAAATAGAACTACCCTATGATCCAGCAATTGCACTACTAGATATTACCCAAAGAATACAAAAATACTAATTCAAAGGGATACAGCACCCCAATGTTTATACCAGCAATATCTATAATAGCCAAACTATGGAAACAGTCCAAGTGTCCATCAACTGATGAATGGATAAAGAAGATGTTATATATATATATATATATATATATATATATATATAAATATATCTATATCTATATCTCTATATAACATATACATGACTATTAGCCATAAAAAAAGAATGAAATCATACAATTTGTAACAACATGGATGGAGCTAGAGAGTATTATGCTACGTGACATAAGTCAGTCAGAGAAGGATAGATACCACATGATTTCACTGATGTGTGGAATTTTTTTTAATCTTTAAATTTTTTATTGTTATGTTAATCACCATACATTACATCATTAGTTTTTGATGTAGTGTTCCATGATTCATTGTTTGTGCATAACACCCAGTGCTCCACGCAGAACGTGCCCTCTTTAATACCCATCACCAGGCTAACCCATCCCCCCAACCCCCTCCCCTCTAGAACCCTCAGTTGTTTTTCAGAGTCCATCGTCTCTCATGGTTCGTCTCCCCCTCCGATTTACTCCCCTTCATTCTTCCCCTCCTGCTATTTTCTTCTTTTATTTTTCTTAACATATATTGCATTATTTGTTTCAGAGGTACAGATCTGTGATTCAACAGTCTTGCACAATTCACAGCACTCACCATAGCACATACCCTCCCCAATGTCTATCACCCAGCCACCCCATCCCTCCCACCCCCCAACACTCCAGCAGCTCTTAGTTTGTTTCCTGAGATTAAGAATTCCTCCTATCAGTGAGGTCATAGGATACATGTCTTTCTCTGATTGACTTATTTCACTCAGCATATGATGTGTGGAATTTAAGAAACAAAACAAATGGGGAGCCTGGGTGGCTCAGTCGTTAAGCATCTGCCTTCAGCTCAGGTCATGGTCCCAGGGTCCTGGGATCGAGTCCCACATTGGGCTCCCTGCTCGGCGGGAAGCCTGCTTCTCCCTCTCCCACTCCCCCTGCTTATGCCCCTCTCTTGCTGTGTCTCTCTCTGTCAAATAAATAAAATCTGTAAAAAAACAAAACAAAACAAATGAGTAAAGGGAAAAAAAGAGAGAAGCAAACCAAGAAACAAATTCTTAACTATAGAGGAGAACACACTGATGGTTACCAGAGAGGAGGTGGGTGGGGGGATGAGCTAAATAAGTGATGGGGATTAAGGAGTGCACTTGTTGTGATGAGTGCACGTTGTTGTATGGAAGTGTTAAATTACTCTATCGTACACCTGGAACTAATATAATAACACTGTATGTTAACTAACTGTAATTAAAATGAAAACTTAAAAAGAATGAAGATGGACCTTTATATTATATCTTACACAAAAATCAACTCAGAATGGACTGTAGACCTAAATGTATGACCTGAAACTATAAAACTCTTAGAAGAAAACAAGGGGAAAAACCTCATGACATTGGAATGGGTGACAATTTCTTGTTTATGACCCAAAGCACAAGCAACAAAAGCAGAAAATAGACAAATGGAACCATACTAAAATTAAAAACTTCTGTGCAGCAAAGGACACAATCAACAGAGTGAAAAGGCAACTTAGGCAATGGGAGAAAATACTTGTAAAACATACATCTGTGATAAGAGGTTAATATCCAGAATATATAAAGAACTGCTGTAACTCAATAGTAAAAAATCAAGTAACTCTATTAACAATTGGGTGCTATGGAATGAATTATGTCTCTCCAAAATATCCCTATGTGAAACCCTAACCTCCAATGTGATGGTATTTGGAGATGGGGCCTTTGGAAGGTAATCAGAATTAGACGAGGTCATGAGAATGTGGTCCTCATGATGGGATTAATGCCCTTAAGAAAAGAGATCTCTTTCTTTCTCTCTCCAAGAGCATGCATATACAAACAAGAGGTCATGAGAGCACATGGCAAGATGGAGGCTGCCTATGAGTCAGGAAGAGAATTGGGCTACGATGGCACTCAGATCTTGGACTTCCAGCCTCCAGAATTGCGAGAAAACAAATTTCTGTGGTTCACACCACTCAGCCTATGGTATTTTATTATGGCAGCTTGAGCTGATTAATATAATGGCAAAAGGACTTGAATAGACATTTCTCCAAAGAAGATATACAAATGGCCAACAAGCACATGAAAAGATGCTCCATATCACTAACCTCAGGAAAATGAAAATGAAAATTGCAATGAGATATTATCTCATACCCATTAGGATGATCACTATGGAAAAAACAGACAATAACAAGTGTTGGCAAAGATGTGGAAAAACTGGAACTCTTACACACTGTTGGTAGGAATGTGAAATGTTGCAGTCATCATGGAAAACAGCAGGGAGTTTCCTCCATAAGTTAGAAACAGAACTGCCATATGATTTAGGGATCCAACTTGTGGGTATATACACAAAAAATTGGAAATAGGATCTTGAATAAATATTTGAACACTCATGGTCATTGCAGCATTATTCATAATAGCTAAGAGATAGAAGCAACCTAAATGTCTATTGACAAATAAATGGATAAAGAAAATATCATATATGGACACAATGGAATATAATTCAGCCTTAAAAATGAAGGATATCTTGCGATATTTTACAACATGGATGGACTTTGAGGATATTATGGTAATTGAGATAAACATCACATGAGTGCATGATTCCACTTATATGAGGTATCTACTTCATGGATATGGAGAATAGACAGGTTGTTTCCAGGGCCTGTGGCAGGGAGGGGAGGAAATGGGGAGTTGTTGCTCAATTGGTATAGAGTTTCAGTGATGCAAGATGAAAAAGATCTAAAAATCTGTTGTTCAAGAATGTGCATATAGTTAACAATACTGTGTTATATACTTAAATATCATTAAGAGAGTAAATTTATGTTGTTATTATGTTTTGTAACCAAAATGAAAACATTGAGTGGGGTAAGGGTTTTAGCTGAGTCCAGATAAAGCTGTGTAGATATATGGTAAACCATGGGGTATATGTTCCCTATGAAGACTTTCTTTTCATGTCAAAACCTTTGTGAACAACCAGACATTGTGTTTTCAGATCCCTTACACTAGTTTTAAGAGCCTAAGGAATCTGGGGTACCTGGGTGGCTCAGTCAGTTAAGCAGCCAACTCTTGGTGTCAGCTCAGATCATGATTTGGAGCCTCATGTGGAGCCCTGTTTTGGGCTCCGTGATCAGCAGGGAGTCTGCTTCTCTCCCTCTGCCCATTCCCCCACTCGTGCTCGCTCTCTCTCAAATAAATAAATAAATATTTAAACAATATTAAAAAGGGCGCCTGGGTGGCTCAGTTGGTTAAGCGACTGCCTTCAGCTCAGGTCATGATCCTGGAGTCCCGGGATCGAGTCCCACATCGGGCTCCCTGCTCAGCAGGGAGTCTGCTTCTCCCTCTGACCCTCTACCCTCTCGTGCTCTCTATCTCTCATTCTCTCTCTTGCAAATAAATAAATAAAATCTTTAAAAAATATATTAAAGAAAAAGAGCCTAAGGAATCAGAAATCCATAGATGGAATCATAGACCTAATCCAAGTTGCTTTCTCCAGTTTAGGGAGATCGACTCTTCCTCTAAACTCTCTTGTCTGAATAGCAGAAGAGGAAATGTTTCTCAGTTCTCTTTTGTAATGATTGCATCTGATGTCGTTTGCCTGATGCTGCTCTGGTAAGTGATATGTGGGAAAGATCACGGAGACAAAATAGTTATCTCAAACACTCTTCCAGAATTAAGACAAAGAATCTGGTTCATTTTGGGGTAAAAAGATCATGTGTGTGGTTAAACATAAACAATTATGTATCTTTACATATGTTCATCATATTCTCTTCTAAGACATTTAATCTAATAACTGAATAATAAGAATAACTGAGATTAGCACTTTGGTGGACTTACAGTCTAATTAAGGTTTCTTTTTTTCTTTTAAAGATTTTATTTATTTATTTGAGAAAGAGAGAATGAGAGATAGAGAGCATGAGAGGGAAGAGGGTCAGAGGGAGAAGCAGGCTCCCCGCTGAGCAGGGAGCCCGATGCGGGACTTGATCCCGGGACTCCAGGATCATGACCTGAGCCGAAGGCAGTCGCTTAACCAACTGAGCCACCCAGGCGCCCCTAATTAAGGTTTCTCTAACTGTCCTTTCATTAGCTAATAATGTTTAGGGAAAATAGTCTTTTTTAAAAAAATGATAAATTTTAAATATATAGAAAGGTGTGGAGAATCATACTGGAAAACCTATATATCCACCACCATTCAGCCTTATCTCAACATTCTGCCACAACTATATATCTTTATATCTTTTTATCTTTATCTTTATATCTTTTAATTTCTATTTTAAAATTCAGAACAAAAATAAAAACAAACAGAAAAGTAGGGCGCCTGGGTGGCTCAATCGGTTAAGCGTCCGCTTTCAGCTCAGGTCATGATCCTGGGGTCCTGGGATTGGCCTGTTTTGGGCTCCCTGCTCAGTGAGGAGTCTGCTTCTCCCTCTCCCTCTGCCTCTCCCCCCAACCCGGGCTCTCGCTCGTGCTCTCTCTCTCAAATAAATGAAGTCTTTTTTTTTTTTAAGATTTATTTATTTATTTTGAGAGAGTGAGAATGAGAGAGAGAGAGAGAGCACATGAAAGGGGGGAGGGTCAGAGGGAGAAGCAGGCTCCCCGCTGAGCAGGGAGCCCGATGCGGGACTCGATCCCGGGACTCCAGGACCATGACCTGAGCCGAAGGCAGTTGCTTAACCGACTGAGCCACCCAGGCACCCTCAAATAAATGAAATCTTAAAAGAGAGAAAACTAGCCAAGACACAGCAAAGCCACCTGCCACCCCTTCCTTTTTCTCTTATAACTATTCTAAATTTGGCATTTCTTTTGTTTTTATACATTCACCACCTATTATAGACTATTAATGTATTTATAAATAATATAATTATTGTCCACATTTAAAAACTTTATATGAATAGCCTCTTCCTATATAATATGCTGTTTTGCATCTTGCATTTATGTTGTTGAGGAAATAGTTTCCTTTGTTAACTCCTGAGATGCAGCTGAGACCTTAACCTTGGGTTTCAGGAGGAAACCTCAAAATCTTCCTGGCCCCTCACCTTGCTGCCTTGGCGTCCATTCTTCATCAGAATCCTCAGTGTCATCTACTTGGGGTTTGATGGCCTGCCTGCGGTGACACATGAAAGCTGGTCGAGGGGCTCTGAGACCTGGAAAGAAGCAAAATTCTTGTCCTAAAAGGGAGGAGCTAGAAGGAGGAACAAAGCACGGTGGCGATGGACAGCACCACCCCGTCGGTGTGACTCAGTTGGATGAGCTGGTGGAGCCTGGAGCAAGGCGCGAGGTGAGCTCTGCATTGCCAGTATGAGCCCGGCCCTGACAGGAAAGAACAGGATTTCGCTCCAGGTTTGTCTCCACACAGAAGGGAACTGTGAGCAGACAGAGCCACCCAAGAGGCCAACTAATACAGGGACTGAAGGCCTGCTTCGTGTTTTCCAGTCTCGTCAGCACCCAGCACTTCTGGTTACCTATGGTAATCAGGGCTTCGTAGTTCCTTTTCACATTCCTATATCGGATTTTCTCCCAGTCTCCCATCTCTGTCCATTCTTCCTTGGAGAAGTATGTGGAGATATCTTTGAAAGCATCTCTGGCCTAGGGAAAATAAGAGATTCCGTCAGTGACCGACTAATCCAAGCTGGGATTCTGAGCTGGGCCTTCCCCTCCACCTTAAATGTGGTGCATTCCGCCGCTCCTCAGAGTGCTCTCTGTGAAGCAGGGGTGAAGAGCCTCTCTCCCTCCTGATGGTGTCCCGATGAACCGAACAAGCACTGAGCGTTTTACTAGCTCTCTCCTGAGAAGGGCGACTGCTGATGGTACTGTCCTGTGCCCCGGCCCCAGCCCCCGTCCTGTAAAGGAGCGCGTGCCTCCCTCCTGTGTCCATATGCGCCGAGACGGCCCCCACCGGTGTAGGCCAGGGGTCCGTGGTGCTCCAGGGACCAGCGCCTGGTCACCAGGCCCCCCCCCACCCTTCCCACAGACATGCGTGGAGCCCAGCTTCTCCCACAGACATGCGTGGAGCCCCCCTTCCCACAGACATGCGTGGAGCCCCCCCTTCCCACAGACATGCGTGGAGCCCCCCCTTCCCACAGACATGCGTGGAGCCCCCCCTCCCACAGACATGCGTGGAGCCCCCCCTTCCCACAGACATGCGTGGAGCCCCCCCTCCCACAGACATGCGTGGAGCCCCCCCTTCGCACAGACATGCGTGGAGCCCCCCCTTCCCACAGACATGCGTGGAGCCCAGCTTCTCCCACAGACATGCGTGGAGCCCAGCTTCTCCCACAGACATGCGTGGAGCCCAGCTTCTCCCACACCTCTCACCGTGGGCTTCCATCCTGCTCTCCCCGAGTCTCTCTCAGGGGTCTCCTCTGGGGACCTGTTGAGGCTCATGGTGCGGGGACCTCCAGGCCGGCCTTGCTCTGACTCGGAGGCTGGCAATGGCCCCATGAGTCTCTCTGCCCCAAGGCCTGTGGAAGAAGAAGGCGCTGAGAGAGGGCGACAGCCCAGACCACTGGCCAGAGCCAGGTCTGCCTTCTCCATGTGGGCGGGGCGTCCGGACAAGACGGGCTGGGGACCCCAGAGAGGGCTCACGGGCGCGGGGAAGGGCTGGG